TGGAATATTTTTCCATCTTTTTGTGTCTTCTTCAATTTCTTTCATGAGTGTTCTGTAGTTCCTAGAGTATAGATCCTTTACCTCTTTGGTTAGGTTTATTCCGAGGTATCTTATGGTTTTTGGTGCTATTGTAAATGGAATCGTTTCTCTAATTTCTCTTTCTATAGTTGCATTGTTAGTGTATAAGAAAGCAACTGATTTCTGTGCATTGATTTTGTATCCTGCCACATTACTGAATTGCTGTATGGGTTCTAGTAATTTGGGGGTGGAGTCTTTTGGGTTTTCCACATAAAGTATCATGTCATCTGTGAAGAGAGAGAGTTTGACTTCTTCTTTGCCAACTTGAATACCTTTTATTTCTTTTTGTTGTCTGATTGCTGTTGCTAGAACTTCTAATACTATGTTGAACAATAGTGGCAAGAGTGGGCATCCTTGACGTGTTCCTGATCTTAGGGGAAAGGCTCTCAGCTTTTCCCCATTGAGGATGATATTCGCTGTGGGCTTTTCATAGATGGATTTTATGAACTTGAGGAATGTTCCCTCTATCCCTATACTCTGAAGAGTTTAAATCAGGAAAGGATGTTGTATTTTGTCAAATGCTTTTTCTACATCAGTTGAGAGGACCATATGGTTCTTCTCCCTACTCCTATTAGTGTGATCTGTCACATTGATTGATTTGTGTGGAATGTTGAACCACCCTTGTATCCCGGGGATAAATCCCACTTGGTCATGGTGGATGATCCTTTTAATGTATTGTTGGATCCTATTGGCTAGGATTTTGTTGAGGACTTTGGAATCCATATTCATCAGGGTTATCAGTCTGAAATCCTCCTTTTTGATGGGGTTTTTGCCTGGTTTGGGGATTAAGGTAATGCTGGCCTCTTAGAATGAGTTTGGAAGTTTTCCTTCTGTTTCTATGTTTTGAGACAGCTTCAGTAGAATAGGTGTTATTTCTTCTTTGAATGTTTGGTAGAATTCCCCAGGGATCAGGCCCTGGACTCTTGTTTTTTGGGAGGTTTTTGATCACTGTTTCAATCTCGTTACAGGTTATTGGCCTATTCAGGTTGTCAATTTCTTCCTGTTTCAGTCTTGGCAGCTTATAGGTTTCCAGGAAGGCCTCTATTTCATCCAGATTGCTCAGTTTATTGGCATATAGTTGTTGATAATAATTTCTAATAATTGTTTCTGTTTCCTTGGTGTTAGTCATGATCTCTCCCCTGTCATTCATAATTTTATTAATTTGGGTCCTTTCTCTTTTCTTTTGGATAAATCTGGCCAGTGGTTTATCGATCTTCTTAATTCTTTCAGAGAACCAACTTCTAGTTTCATTGATCTGATCTACTGTGTTTCTGGTTTCTAATTCATTGATCTCTGCTCTGATTTTAATTATTTCTCTTCTAATGCGTGGCTTAGGTGTCGTTTGTTGCTTTTTCTCTAGTTCTTTAAGGTGTAGAGTTAGTTGGTGAATTCGGGATTTTTCTATTTTTTCGAGTGAGGCTTGGATGGCTATGTATTTCCCCTAGGACCACCTTTGCAGTATCCCATAGGTTTTGGACCGATGTGTTTTCGTTCTCATTGATTTCCATGAATTGTTTAAGTTCTTCTTTGATTTCCTGGTTGACCCAAACATTCTTGAGCAGAGTGGTCTTTAGCTTCCAAGTGTTTGAATTTCTGCCAAATTTTTTCTTGTGATTGAGTTCCAGTTTTAAAGCATTGTGGTCTGTGAATGTGCAGCAAATAATCTCAATCTTTTGGTATCGGTTGAGACCTGATTTGTGACCCAGTATGTGGTCTATTCTGGAGAAAGTTCCATGTGCACTTGAGAAGAATGAGTCTCTGTTGTTTTAGGGTGGAATATTCTGTATATATCTTTGAGGTCCATCTGGTCCAATGTATCATTCAAAGCTCTTGTTTCCTTGTTGATTTTTTGCTTAGATGATCTGTCCATTGCTGAGAGTGGAGTATTGAGGTCTCCTACAATTAACGTATTGTTATCAATATGACTATTTTGGTTAACAGTTGGCTTATGTAGATGGCTGCTCCCATGTTGGGGGCATAGATATTTACAATTGTTAGATCTTCTTGTTGGATAGACCCTTTAAGAATGATATAGTGTCCTTCTGTGTCTCTTATTACAGACTTTAGTTTAAAATCTATTTTGTCTGATACAAGAATTGCTACCCCAGCTTTCTTTTGAGGTCCAGCTCCCAGCTGGCATGGAAGATGGATCTCCATCCCTTCACTTTCAGTCTGGATGTATCTTTAGGTTCAAAATGAGTCTCTTGTAGACAGCATATGGATGGGTCCTGTCTTTTTACCCAGTGTGCAACCCTGTGCTGTTTTATGGGAGCATTTAGGCCATTCACGTTGAGAGTGCTTATTGAAAGATATGAATTAATTGTCATCATGTTGCCTGTGAAGACGTTGTTTTTTAGATTGTCCCTGTAAATTTCTGTTATATATCACTCTTGGGGTCTTTCTCCTTTTATAGAACCCCCCTTAATATTTCTTGCAGGGCCGGCTTAGGGGTCACATATCTTTCAGTTTCTGCCGGTCGTCGAAGCTCTGCATCTCTCTATCCATTCTAAATGAAAGCCTTGCTGGATAAGGTATTCTTGGCTGCATGTTTTTCTCATTTAGTACCCTGAATATGTCTTGCCAGGCCTTTCTGGCTTGCCAGGTCTCTGTGGATAGGTCTGACGTTATTCTGAAGTTCCTCCCTCTATACATAAGCAATCTCTTCCCCCTAACTGTCCTTAAGATGGTTTCCTTGGTTCTAAGATTTGCAAGTTTTACTATTACATGCTGGGGTGTTGGCCTGTTTTCCTTGATCTTGGGAGGGGTCCTCTCTGCCTTTAGGACGCGAATGTTTGTTTCATTCCCCAGATTAGGGAAGTTTCAGCTACGATTTGCTCAAATACATCTAGTCCTCTCTCTCCACTCCCTCCGGGATTCCAATTATTCTGACATTGGGATGCTTCATGGTGTAACTTATTTCTCTGATTCTATTTTCATGGATTCTGAGTTGTTTTTCCCTGGCCTCCTCTTTTCCCTTTTTATCTATTACATTGTCTTCCAGGTCGTTTATTCATTCTTCTGCCTCACTTACCCTAGCTGTTAGATTATCTAGTTGGATTAGACCTCATTGATAGCATTTTTTTTTTTAAAGATTTTATTTATTTATTTGACAGAGAGAGAGATAGCGAGAGCAGGAACACAAGCAGGGGGAGTGGGAGAGCGAGAAGCAGGCTTCCTGCCGAGCAGGGAGCCCGATGTGGGACTCGATCCCAGGACCCCGGGATCATGACCCGAGCCGAAGGCAGACGCTTAAAAACTGAGCCACCCAGGCGCCCCATTGATAGCATTTTTAAGTTCTGCCAATTCAGCTTTCATTTCTGCCCTTAGAGACTCTATGTTGCCATTAATTGGTTTCTCCATTCTAGCTATTGTCTTCACAATTGCTAGCCTGAATTCCGTCTCTGACATCTTGGTTATATCTGCATCCACTTGTAAATCTGCAGCATTAAGTCATAATCTCTGAGTCTTTTCTATTTTGGGGGTTCCTCCTCCTAGTCATTCTGTTGATGGGTGGTTGAGGGAATGTATAGAGTCCAAATTATTCACCAGAACCCAAGCAAGATGCACCTGTTTTCTAGGGACCTTAGGGTTGCTGGCCTCTTGTTTTCCCAGCCTGTCGTCTGGGGGAGGGGCCTGCCGGGCTGTTACTCAGGCAACCCTGTTTGGGCAGAGTTGCCCTGCCCCCCTGTGGCGGGGAATGGGCTAGTGGGAATCAGTTTTTGGGGGCTTTTGTTCTCTGGCGGCTTTCCACGTCTCTTCCGAGAGTCAGAGCAGAAGAGACCGTTTCCAACCCTCTGCCTCAGAGCAGAGAGACCTCATTCTGTTCTTCAGTGAGCTCTCCAGGCCACACTGTCTCCGTTTCTGTGGTGCTGCTATAAACTGCACTGGCCTGGGTTGTGCGCCCCCCCGCAGCGCTCCCAGTCCTGCCTCCAGGTCTGAGCAGGTCTCTGCCCTTTGTGCTTCTAAAACCGCCAGCCGCTCCCAGTTCGCACGCAGGACCCCGCTGCTCAGAGTTTCCGCCCCAGGGGCTGCCCTAAAGTCCCTTCCCCGAGTCTGTGCCCCGTCCCCAGTGAGCGAGGCTGTCACTCAACGGCGGTGTAGGATCCCCACAGCCAGGCTCCCCCCCGCTGCCGTTTATCCTACGATATCTGCCTGCAGAATCACGGCTCCCAGCTTCGTACCTCAAAACCAACCGCCTGCGATATTCTGTTTGTAGAGATCCAGATCTTCTTACATCTCAGGCTGATTTCGTGGGTGCTCAGAGTGGTCTGGTAGATATCCAGCTCAATTCTGGGGACCAGTTGAAATAGGGTCCCCTACTGCTCCGCCATCTTTTCTTCTCTCTCCCAGAATCCTAATACTCTTTTTAAAGTATATAGAAATAATTTTAAGCACCAAACCCAGTATTTTGTATCTTTTCTTTTTTTTACTGAGATAATTTGGTCTTAATTTGTAATGCTTAGGCTACTTTTGGTAAGACTTTATGCATTCCCTTTTCTGCTCCTCTAAAGCCCAGTGTAAAGATTTCATATTCAAAATTGCATTATTTATTACTTTATATTGTAACTTAAAACAATAAATCTGTCAAGGTTTAAAAAAAATAAAGTATACAGAAGCAGATAAGTCAGTTTTCCATGACACCCTTTATTTTGAACACGTTTTATGTCTTCTAAGGATCCATTCAGATCATAGATTCAGAATTTTAAAAATAAAGTGGTGATATATATATATATAATTGCTAAATATATATTTATATATATTTATAATGATTTTTTAAAATTACCTTTTCCTAGTTTACCATATTGACTATGTCATAAAGTATATTGAGAATTTTTATATTTTATGATATAAAATAGCTAAATAGAAGAAATGAATGTAAAGTGACAATTTTCTTTTTTCTTTTTTTTTTTTTTTTTTGGCAGGTTATTAACAAATTCAAACAGACTTACAACAACCAGAAATGCCGTATGGGCCCTCTCAAATTTATGTAGAGGCAAAAACCCTCCTCCAAACTTTAGTAAGGTATGAGTAAAATATACAAATTAAGGAATCTATATACATAAACTTTTAATTAAGTCTCCTTATAATAGACTTTCAGAGATTGAAGGAACGTTATGCCATTTTTTAGCAATTATTTTCTTTATTTACTAGACAATATTTGCACATATACGAAGTCTAGAGATATATAATAGAAAGGAAGTTTCCCTTTCTACTCTTATTTTACCTCATGATTGCCTCTCAGCAACCACTGTCACTTGATGTTTATGTATGTTAGTGTTGACTTTAGAAATCTTCTAGTCTACTTCTTCTCATTTATATCCAAAAATGAAATTGAAGCCCCCAAAAGGGTTAAGGTAATTCCCAGGTCCACTATTAGTTGTAAAATTGGAAAACTAATTAGTCCACAGTGGCTTGTGCTTTCTCAGTGTACTTTTTATCTGTTTAGAATATTTTTTCCCCATCTGCTCATATTCTGCTAAAAGAATAGATTATTAATAAGTTTCCAATCTAGTTCTATTTTCTTACCAATAAGATGTTAAAAAGACAGAATGTAGGTAAATTTCTGGGCTACCATTATACTTCTTTTGAATTCAGTATCTATGAATGAAAGGGCAACATTGACTGTAGCACTAAGAAGAGCTCAAAATCTGGTGAGGATTTAGTGATAAAGTTTCTGGGGGCAAAAAATAATAAATTCCTAATTGAAAAATATGATGCATGAGTTGTATGCCTTCTCATTTATACTTTTACCATTCCAGTTTGAAAAATGCATGATCATTTTAGCCATGTTTCATCTGAACCACCAACATGACTTTAAAATCCATTGGTACCATCATCTGTTCATCTTTTACCACACCCCATAGCATGTGATGGGTTCAATCATAATTCGTAAAATTTTTCCGTAACCATCCATGCCTATTCTATTCCATGTTTATTGACAAGTACGTAATATGACTAAGAAGCTAGTTTAAAGCATTGTAAAGTATGCTAAAAATAAAAGAGGGAACAAAATTTATTTTTTTTAAAGACTTGTATTTATTAGAGAGAGAGAAGAGAAAAGGCACACATGCACATGGGGGAGAGAATCTCAAGCAGACTCCATGCTGACCATGGGCCCCCCCCACCCCACCCCAGTGCGGGGCTTGATCTCATGACCCATGAAATCATGACCTGAGCCAAAATCAAGAGTCAGATGCTTAACTTACTGAGCCACCCAGGCACCCCCCAAATTACTGTTTTAATCAGAAATTTGGTTTAGTAGATATATATCTTAGAAAAGTTTTGAGTAAACTATATACCACTGCTCCCCAAGGAAGCAAGTTATGAAATAATATTGCAGCAATGGCCTTAGTTAGTTTAAAAGAATTTTTTATAATTTTCACTTTAATAGTAGAAGGATAAGGGATGAGTATTTGAACTGAGTATAATACAAGGAAAAGAATATTTATGTGGTACGCAAGTATCCCTCAATGACCTTTTTTTTTTAAACATTCTATATAAAAACATCATTTAGCAATGATTATTATAGAATTGAAAGAAAAAAAATGTTCATATTTTGTCTGAGGAGATAATAAGGGTCAATTCAACTGATGATGGTGAATCCTTCACCAGCTATTTGTAGGTTTAAACTTGCATATGTAGAATTGGCTTGCTAATTATATATAGATTCATGGTTTTAGCAATTATAGTAATTTCTTTATTTTACCTCTTAAAAAATGGTATGGGATAACTGTGTTTTGATTGAGTTTTTACTCAGTGAACTTTGGTTTATGCATTGCTTTTCATTTTAAATTTCTTTAAAATACATTCCTTTTAAGAATTTGGAGGTTTTTACCCTTTGCTTTTAAATAGTGTGCATCTCTATGTGTATATGTTGAGATAATAATTATGCGATAATAGTTGTAAATATATAATTAGTTTAAAATGCCATATTTCATTTTTCTTTTTTTTTTCTACTTAGTATTGGAATTTTTCGTAGGCATTGTTAAATTTTGAGATCTTTTTGTGTAATTATATTACATGGTTTTTAAGAGTTCTTTAGCCATAGACAAGCAGTAAAGATTTTAAAAAATTTTTATAATAACAATCATCTACTTTATTATAAAGGACTCATTTTTAAAAACTGTCTCATAGAGATGCTTTGCCTGAAGAATTTGCTCATTTGAAAAAAACTGAAATTTATAAAATTTATAATTTGTAAAACTGGTAGTCTAAACCACATTTTTCTAAGCTTCCTTTTAAAAAATTATTGTCTTTATGAGACATCTAATGGAACATTAAGGACTTTGAGAAGTTACATGAATCTTGAGAAGCCATGTGGTTATCTTAATTTCAGGCCAATTCACATTTATAATGGTAGATATTACTTTAACAGCTGGCAAAAAAAAAAGGATTTCTCAATTAGGAGACTGTTTCTTATTTTCTCTTCCGTCCTACCTCTACTTCCTTCTCCATCCTCACTCTCAGTTTATGACCCTGCTCCTTCACTGAGAAAATTGAAGCTCTCTGAAGAGAACTTCCGTAGATTACTACCGTCATTACATTTGCCATCTTGTCATCATTTGTACTGCTATACATTCCTGTCATTGTTGGTTACTTTAGCCATGCTTCTTTATAAAGTCAATTCCTTTGTTTGGACACTACATAGCTTTCTGTTTTCCTTATTTAGGGTCATCGCTCCAGGTGCATCATTCCTTTCCTCTCCAACATTAGTAATTGTTTTACTCTCTCCTACATCATTCTCAATACTATAAAAATATACTGTTATTTCTCTCATGTTAAATCTTTTCTTATCCCTGAAAGCCCTGTTAGCTCCCATGTTTATTGCCACCCCATTTCTTTGCTTCCTTTTATAGCAAAATTCCTCATTTGTCTATTCTCATTGTCTACTCTCTCTCCTTTCATTCTTGTTGAATCCTCTCCAGTCAAAATTTTCCCTCAGTCACTGCACTGAATCTGCTTTCACTAAGGGCACATGTGTCTTCACATTGTGAAATCCAGGGGTCAATGTTTAGACCTCATCTTAAATGACTTGCTACATCACAGTAGTGATTTCTCAGTCTTCATCTTACCTGATCTATTGCCTTCATATGACATATTTGATCACTTCCTCCTCCTATGTAATTTTTTTTCACTTGGTTTTCAGGCCACTACTCTCAAGTTTTCCTTCTACCTCAATGATTGCTCCTTCTCAGTTTCATATATTAGTTCCTCTTCTCTTTTTCCTACTAAAGTTGAGAGTACAAAGTGAATGGTTTTGGCTTTTTCTTATCTTTATCTGCATTCAATTTCTTGTTGATATTGCCCATTCTGTGACTTTAAATGTCATCCACATGCCAGCAACTTCCAGATTTCAGTGCTTGGCTCAGGTCTTCTTTTTAACTCCAAACTCAGCATCTTTATTTGGATATCTAATAGACATCTTAAACCTGACATATTTAAAATGTAATTCCTGTTCTTTTCCCCCAGAACCTTCTGTGCCAACAGTTTTTCGTATCAGTTAATAGAATTTCATCTTCCATTATTAAATGAGGTACTTTAACATTTTTTGCCTGCTTTCTCTTTTATCTCATTCTCTACATTCACTCCATCAGTAAATCCTGTTGGCTGTACTTCTGAATTATATTCACGTAGGGGTTCCTCTAGCCAAATTTGGTACTATTTGAGGATCAAGATGAATTAAGGAAAGGAAATACTTTTTTTTTTTTTTTTTTATGATTTTACTCATTTGTTTGACACAGAGAGAGACAGCACAAGCAGGAGAAGCGGCAGGCAGAGGGAGAGGGAGAAGCAGACTCCCTGCTGAGCAAGGAGCCCAATGCAGGACTCGATCCCAGGACCCTGGGATCATGACCTGAGCAGAAGGCAGATGCTTAACCGACTGAGCCACCCAGGCGCCCCAGATTCTTTTTATTCAATATGTTAAAAGTATTTCCTTTCCTTAGGGCCGCCTGGGAGGCTCAGTCGTTAAGCAGACGTTAAGCCTTCGGCTCAGGTCATGATCCCAGGGTCCTGGGATCGAGTCCTACTTTGGACTCCCTGCTCAGCAGTGAGTCTGTTTCTCCCTCTACCTCCTGCTTCCCCTGCTTGTGTGTGCACGCACTCTCTTCTCTCTGACAAATAAGTAAGTAAAAATCTTTAAAAAAAAAAAAAAAAAGAATCTGTGAGTCTATCCTAATACTAAAAATGGGGAAAGAAAGCTCTTTTTAACAGAAGAATCCCAATTAATACTTGTAGAAGGACTTCATATTAGAAAAGTCAATTACCATGCTAATAATTGATTTAGGCAGGAATCATCAGTGAGTTCTATAACATTTAGGTGAAAAAGATCGTTGGGAACAGAATATTGACATGGTTAGAAAGTATTGCCCTACAGAGTATTTATTAATTACAAAGAGGATAGGAGGGAGTTTTATTTACTGTTGAGAATTCTAGTGGAGTTTAGTCACCTTAACCAAATGATTAAGTTTAACATTACTAATAAAGGGAAAACTGACATTATGTGCCTTCAGATGTGTCATGACTAAAAATAACACATCATCACTTATGTAACGCTCTTGCTGGAAATGTTTAGTCTGAATCTAATAATGAGGAAACAGTAAGACAAATCAGAATTGAGGAATGGTTTGTGAAATAAATGTTCGGACTCTAAGAATATCAGCGGTGTGAAGGCACACAGATAGGCCGAGGAGTTATTCAAGATTAAAAGACGGCACACACCTATTAGAATGGTTAAAATCTAAAAAGCTAATAATACCAAGTGCTGACAAGATGGATAGCAACTGAAATTCTTAAAACATCGCTGATAGGAATGTAAAATGGCACAGACGCTTTAGTAAGAAGACAGTTTCTTACTGTGCTATTTAGCAATATGGTACTTACCCAAGGAAGAGGACATAGTATGTGTACAAAAAGACCTGAAAATAAATGTTTATGAGAGCTTTATTCATAATCACCAAAAATTGGAAACAGCCCAAACGTACAATAGCTGGTGTATGGATAAACAAATTATGTTTCATTCGTATGATGGAATATAACTCAACAATAAAGAAGAAGAAGCTACTGGTACATGCAGCAACATGAGTGAATTTCACAAGAATTAAGCTAAACAAAAGAAGCCACACACAAATGCTATATCTTGTATATTTCGTTAATATACTATTTTGGAAAAGACAAAACTATAGAAACAAAATCAGATCAGTGATTGCCTAAAAGGGACAGGAGGGTAGTTTTAAAGATGATAGAAATATTCTATATCTTGATTGGGTGGTAGCTATACAACTGAATGTATTTGTCAAAACTCTCATTAGAACTGTACACCTGAAAAGAATTATTTTTACTGAATTTATACTTCAATAAACCTGATTTTTTAAAGATACTCTAACAAGTAAATGCACTGTTTAATTACTGATTAGATCGTGGATTGAAATTAAGTTCTAGCTTAAAATACTTAAATTTGCTTTAGATCTTAGGTAATATTATTGTACCAATGAAAAATTTTTGGATGTGACAATAACAATGTCTTAGAAGAATGTAAAGAAATGCCATTTTTCTTAGGAGATACATGCTGAAGGATGTAGGGGTGAAGTATCATGATAACATCTGCAGTTCTCAAATAGGCCAGCAAATATATTTTTAAAATATATTTTATATGTATATATATGTGTGTGTGTGTATATGCATATTTCCCATTTCATCTCACAATGTTTTCAAAAGACATGTATTCAAGAATTGAGATTTAATAAAATTAGTAATTTTTACTGCTTCTAAATAAAATCTTTAAAAAAAAAAAATACAAGGTAATTCTTAAATAGGCACCCTCCCCCTTCCCCCTGCCGGCCTCTTTGCAAGTATGTGAACATAAAGAATACAAAGATCTGTGGTACATTTTGGTACCACTGCTTTGATTTATGCTGAGTTTTACCCACCATTGCTTTTATAGCTTTAGTGCAAATGTCAACAAAATGAAAAAGACCAATTATGTGTTAGTATAATTATGAAAATTTTGGCATTAAAGATTGCTTCCCCAAGGTTTCAAGAATCCCTCAGGGGTCCATGGACCACACTTTGAGAACCACTGGCCTACAATTTAATGCTTAATATCTATATAATTCCCTCATTTTCTTTAAGTGCTTGCTTATAAGTTACCTTTTCCATGAGCTGTACTCTGACTACCCTACATAATAATGTAATCTCTTACTACCCCAGCCACTGACCTCCACATTTTACTCTAATTTTTTCTTAGCATCTTCTAACATAATACATGTTTTTAAAAATTTATTACCTATTTAATTTTTTTTTTTTTAAAGATTTTATTTATTTATTTGAGAGAGAGAGAATGAGAGAGAACACATGAGAGGGGGGAGGGTCAGAGGGAGAAGCAGACTCCCTGCCGAGCAGGGAGCCTGATGTGGGACTCGATCCAGGGACTCCAGGATCATGACCTGAGCCGAAGGCAGTCGCTTAACCAGCTGAGCCACCCAGGCACCCACCTATTTAATTTTTTTAAAAAAATCTTTCTTCCACTAAAATATAAACTCCTTAGAGTTAGGAATCTTTGTCTCTTTTTGTTTACTTATGTATTCCAAACTTATAGTGTAATTCACATTAATAGGGCTTAAGACTTTTGTTGGGTAAATTTTCTGTGATTTTCTATGAGAGATTTTATCATTCACATTTTTTGAAATTTTTATTTTCACAATCATATTTTCAAGAATTTTTTTGTTCTCTGATTGCTCATCTTTAGATAGACTTTTTCTGTATAGATGTTACAGCTTTTTTTATGGACCCAACAAATTATCTACCTGAGGATTTATAATTTTTTTGAAGTTTTCTTTTTTCTGGTGTCTCTGTTTCTTTGTATGTTTTTGTTTTGTTTGTGGTTTGTTTGTTTTAGTCTCTTTTTTTACTGGGAGATCTCCTCATATAACTTGTGATCCTGGGCACTCTGGACATACTTAGGAGGCAGACACTAAAAGCTAAATGGAAAATGGGTATAGAGGTGGGTGTATAGACTTGTCCTTTCATGGGCTTCATTATAGAGTAATTGGGTGGCAGAACCATGTCTTCTTTGAGGAATTCAGAATTTCTGTATGTTTTCTGAGACCATTCTGTTTCTCCAGAGACAGATTTTCCAGTCTCCTGCTGCAAAGTGAATAGATTGGGTTGAGGTGTAGAGTAGATAATACTACTGGAGATGTGGGAGCTGGGCATTGGAAGAGGACTACAGGTTTTCATCAGTCAGTATGTAAACTTTTATTTAATCTCTGTGATTTCTGTTCTCATGCTTTATTTCAAACTTGTCTTTGATACCCCAAGTTCAGTTTCTGTAGTTCACTTTTTATTTTTCAGTTTCTCCTTAAAATAAACCTCTCTAGTCTTTGCTGGCATTGAGAATATTAGACACCTACCTGTAGTCTAACCTCTTTCTCATTTAACTTTTTAAGCTTTCTTTCTGTTTTAGCATCATTCCTCTCCTGTGCCTTCTGTGATAGCTGGCACCTCTGATTCTTGAGGCCCTTCGGGGTGATGATTGGAGGATAAATTAGCTTTCTTCTTCTTCTTCTTCTTCTTTTTTTTAAATTAGCTTTCTTCTAATTGGTAGTTCCCTCTGCAGGTATAGAGGTGTCACCTTTCTCTCCTCACTTATAATCCTGTCCATGATATCTTATGGGCATGATTACAGATGTCTGCTGCACTTCTCAGAGATCGGATTTGTATTTCTCTTTCTTCTTTCCCTTGTTTCTGAGAAGACAGTGGCTCAGAAGTGTTTTTATTTTGCTCCCTTAAAACTAGAAATCTGTAATGCTGTAATAGCTTCATTTTTTAAATCAGTAAAAAGATACGGATCAGTATGCTGATTTTTTTAACTCAAAAATTTATATTTGCTTTAAATGATTCTCACATTTCTCTGTTTGAGGAAGAGGAGGTCATTGGCAAGGGTGAAGGCATGTTTGTTCGGAAAGGATCCAGTTGTGCAGATTTGTTTTACTAACTTACAAACCCATTCTGTTTTGTTAGCAAACTGTTTTTTTTTGTTCCTGGGCCCTTGGGTCATCTGTACAGAAGGGCCCAGCAGAGAAAATAGATAAGTATTTTCAGAAGGTTATAGTTTATGTACTGGCAATCTTTAAAATAGAGGTAAAGAGAAAATTCATCTTAAGTACTAGAACCTTAAAGCTGTCATTACTCTTTATTTGTGGCACATCTAAATTTAGTACACAGCTCTTATCTGAGGGATACTTTAGGTTGCTGATTAAAAAAAAAAAACTTGGGGCATTTGGGTGGCTCAGCTGGTTAAGCGTCTGCCTTTGGGTCAGACCATGATCTCAGGGTCCTGGGATCAAGCCCACAGCGGGCTCCCCGCTGCTTCTCCCTCTGCCTCTGCCTGCCACTCCCCCTGATTGTGCCCTTTCTCTTTCTTTCTCTGTCAAATAAATAAATAAAAATCTTAAAAAAAAAAAAACTCTTAAAAAAAAAACTTTAAGGAATATAGAATCAGTACTGATCATGGCAATAAAAAGAGCGAACATCTCTGTGCTTACTGTATGTCAGGTACTGTTCTAAGATGCTACATGCATTCTTACTAATTTAACAGTACTGTTTTATCCCTCTTTTATAAATGAAGAAATTGGATTTCAGAGATGTTAGGTAATTTTCCCATGGTCATACAGCTAGTGAATCTAGGACTATCTGATTTGAGAAAGGAAGGATCATAGAATTTGTCTAATTTGGCCTTTGTTTCACAGATTTGGAAACTGAGTCTCAGAGAGGTGAAGTGATATGCTCATTTCACAACTAAGTAGTTGTAATATTAATGCTAGAGGGACTAAAACCTGTTGTCATGTATGTGGTTTTTCTTTTTTTGTAATTGAAGATTCAGGGTTTCAGTACATTAAGAAGTACAGTTTATTAGTGACTTTCATTTAAAAATCCTTCAGATTTCTTTTTGTATTTTCTACACCTTTAGTCCTCAACTGATTATTAGATTTGTTTCCAATAATGTACATGTAATAAGTAGGGTGAGGTTTATTTCAGTTGGTTCATATTTCATGATCATATTAAACACCTAACTAAAACATCTTTACTTCCCTTAGCTTTGGTATGCCTTTTTTGGGTGTGTTATGTGTGTGATTTAAACATAGGGGATCTCAAATATGTATTTCATTACTCTTAAAAATTTTAAATTACCACATATCTTACTTAATGTAAGATTAATTGGAGGGGCGCCTGGGTGGCTCAGTCAGTTAAGCGTCCGATTCTTAGTTTCAGACCAGATCATGATCTCAGGTCCTGAGATCGAGCCCTGTGTTGAGCTCCCTGCTCAGCGGGGAGTCTGCTTCCTCTCTTCTCTCTCTCTCTCTCTTCCTCTTTCCCTCCCTCAGCTTGTGCCCTCTCTCTCTCTCTCTCTCTCAAATAAATAAATAAATCTTTAAAAAAAAGATTAATTGGAAACAATCAGTTACATGTTCATATATATGATCATAATTTTTTAAGACAATAGAATGTTTTAATTTCTCTGGTATTTTTATAGCATTAGTTTTGTTTTAAAATGGGTTTCTATATTTTCCTAAAGAAACTCAGTCTTAGAGAAAATTGTTAAATATTGGCTCTTTTCTTCCAGGTTTCACCTTGCTTAAATGTCTTGTCACGATTGTTGTTTAGCAGTGACCCAGATGTATTAGCAGATGTGTGCTGGGCCCTTTCTTATCTTTCTGATGGACCCAATGATAAAATTCAAGCAGTCATTGATTCTGGAGTCTGTCGAAGATTGGTGGAACTTTTGATGTAACTACAATTTATGATTAATAATTGTATGATTGTGTATTAAATTTAGCAGTTAATGGCTTTATAAATATCTCGAGAGTGACTCTCTTCAGAAGAATTGAAAAGCCATCAACCCCACTTTTCAGAATAGCTGTAATGCTGAAAAGTTGACCTTTTTAAATTTGTATCTCATCCTTTAGTTGGAACTAATAATTTTGTGAATGTATTTCATTAGTTTTAATCTTTTTATGAATGGCAGGGACTTAATTCAACAGGTATATATGGAATGTCTGTTACCTGCTAGAGTATTGTACAACATATTGTTAATGAAGTACAGAACTCGGTACCTGCTCTCACAGAACCAGTAATCTAGTTAGTTGTTCATTACAGTAACTAATTTGTGTACAAGTTCATGTAGTGAAAACATTTAGTATTTCACTTGTTTTAGTATTTCACTTGCTAGGCTATTATTACCTTCTTTAAAAAGAACAGATTTTTTTTATAAAAGAAGTTTAAAAACTTGTAAGAGAATTTGTTTTAAAAGGATAGTTTATCTTTTTCTTTAAAAAGATTTATTATACTACTTCCTTTTGTCAAAAAGCCATTAGGTAGGCTCAAATAAAGCAGATGGCACAAAAAAGAAAGGTCTGATAAGGGTTTGTGGCTCTAGTCCAAAGACAACATCTGAGGAGAGTAGGCAGGCAGGTCCAATGAGGGGATCAGGGCTCAAGCTTGAGTATGGCACCCACTAAAGCAGAATAGCAAGCAGGCTGGAACAACACATGATGGATAACAGCCTAGCTGGATCAGAAGCCAGTTTCTTATTCTAAGAGAATGGAGATACAAATACGGAAAGGAGGAAAACCAGAATAATCTTATGGTATTAGATTAGAACTGGAGATATCAATGTGAACTCATGGCTTTCAACATAAAGAGATGTAGAAATAAATAGATATGTGTGTGCGTGCACGCACATGCGCTCTTAAAGGCCCTGTGAGCAGTGACACTTCTGTACTAAAAAGCTAAACACACCAAATCTTGGTTTTTAAAAACTACTCTTCATTAACAGGAACCAAAATTCTTGGATAAATGGCTGATTCTAGGGCTGGCATTGAGAAAAAATAAGGTGACCCCATAAAGTATTAAGTGCTCAAAGAATGGAGAAATATCAAAAGGACACAGAAACCCACTTAAGGGGACTCCAACCATTCAAACTTCCAAACTTCGGATGATTTGAGCATTAAAATAAATTATGGTAATATGTTAAGAGTATTGAATAAAATAGGAATCCATGAGTCCACACTAAAATAAGTAGGTACATCAATAGACTGAAAAAGCATATAATGATGGTATTACAAAATTATCATTGGCAACAATATTAATAATAATTCAGACAATACACATCAAGAAGTGGTGAAAGTAGTGGTTGGTGAAAGTGGGATAAGGAATGGGATTTAACATAGTCTAAAAGAATATCCTCTCAAAAATATTAATTATAAAGGGAAAAACAGTAATGTTGAAGTAGAGAAATCTGACAGACACCATTTTAAGTGACGAGTTCAGTGCTACTATTGTGGACAAAACAGGTATCAGATGCTATCCTATGTAATGAAAAGATGGTTGCATTTGTGATATCCTAGCTAAAAGTATATAATTTGTATCTTAATCATGAGGAAACATTGGACAAAACCTAATAATTTGTTTATGATCATTATAAATGTCAAGATCAGGAAATAAAGGAAAAAATAGCAACTGTTTTGAATTGAAAGAGACTAGAGACATGACAGTTGGGTCTAATATATAGATTCTTTATTACAGAAGTATTACTGGCATAATTAGTGAAACTTGAGTGGGATCTCCGGGTAAAGAGTATACAGGACTATTTTGTATTATTCTTGCAATTTTTTTGTAAATTTTAACTCTTGCATAGTATGTAAGTTCATATTTTTATTATTTTTAGGCACAATGATTATAAAGTTGTATCACCTGCATTAAGAGCAGTTGGTAATATTGTGACTGGTGATGATATTCAAACACAGGTGAGTTCAGACTTTAATATGATAAATAAGATAATGGATTTTGAGAAATTTATCAAGTTTCATACTAGATACTTCATACTTGGTTACATATTAATCAAGACTTTAGCATTACCATAACTATATAGGCATCTATAATGTGACAGCATATTCTTGATGATAAGTGCTCAACCTCGAATACCTGTATGTGAAAGCACTATTCCTAGATCTATATCGATATAAAGAAGTACAAGGTAGGAGGTTGGCTCTCGAGGGATTTATAATAAAATTGAAGAGAAAATATATATTAAAGCAAAGCAAATTACCCAAGTTAGTGTATGTTTGCTGAGAGTTGGTTGGTCAGTAAACGCTATAGAAGTTTAAAAAAGAAATCACTATGCTGAGAAATCTTTGTAGATTCCATAAAGAAGTTGGAATTAAAGCTATATCTTAAAGTTGGGGAAGAACTTAAGTAAACTAGAAGAGATTTATGTGAACATAGGTACAAAGGCAGACATGTGTGGGTTGTATTTAAGAGACATTAAGCTTGACTGGAGAAGGAACTGTTAGTGAAAGGGTGATTAATTATAAATAGTTTAAACATGGGGTTGGTTGGAAGCGGGAGGTCCTTTTATAGTAGATTGAAGACCTAGATTATGGGAATGGAAGGAAAGATAGAAAGGAAACATTTTCCTGGTTAGTAACTATGTGTGTGTGTGTGTGTCTGTCTCTCTGTCTTTTGGAGGATGGTGAGTTACCAGAAAAGGCGTAATGTCAAGATTGACTTTAGATCTGGAGCAATCTTTCTTGAAGATAGAAACTTAAACTCTAACACATTAGATTCTCCTTTGCTTGCCACCATAACTTAAACTTTACTCTAATTTACATATCATCTTTCAGGTTTAATCTTATTTAATCCTATTTAGATATATTAGTTATTAAATAGTTGATCCTTAGTAATTTGATAGTTACTAATTTAAAATATCTCTTTAAATGAGAATGCCCTTCTAAACATAACACTCTTAAACAGAATTTTGGTACACTGTTTCATACATTCTTCACCAAGTAAATTTAATGTAAATCATTGTGGGTATTCTGAAAATAGGAACATAATTAATTATGCCATGGAATGAAGAATGTAAAGGGACAAAGCAGAACATACTTCTTTTTTATTTTTTTTTTTAAAGATTTTATTTATTTATTTGACAGAGAGAGACACAGCCAGAGAGGGAACACAAGCAGGGGGAGTGGAGGAGGGAGAAGCAGGCTTCCCACTGAGCAGGGAGCCCGATGCGGGGCTCGATCCCAGGACCCTGGGATCATGACCTGAACCGAAGGCAGACGCTTAACGACTGAGCCACCCAGGCGCCCCCCAGAACATACTTCTTTACAAAAGAAAAGTGGAACAGTAAAAAATTTTAATGAAAAAAGTTGACTTACTCTATACATTGAGGTTTCTTACCAGTTATGGAATTAGGTACTTTCAAACTGTTTCATCATCTTTTTTTCATCATCTCATTTGGCAAAACTAGAGTTTGGATCCTGACCAGTCACTAAATCTCTCTTGAATTGTCATATCAGTTGAATTCTTGAGTGTATTCGTAAACATGAAGGACACACCTCTGGTGTCCTGCTTATTCTCATTTTAGTGGTTTGACAGAGCACTTTACTGCACCAAGTTTTGGTGAAGTGGAAAGAGTAGAAGGTAGCAAGTACCTAAGTTTTACTTTGAGAGGAATTTCTTTTTTCTTAATTTAGTTTTTCAAGAGTGATTTTTGTATTTTTATAAATCAGTCTATCTTTCTGTAGTTTTTTGCTATAAAACTTTGTTTCCATTTCTGATTTTTGTTTCAGGTAATTCTGAATTGCTCTGCATTACCATGTCTCTTACACTTATTGAGTAGCCCAAAGGAATCAATCAGAAAAGAAGCCTGCTGGACTGTTTCTAACATCACTGCTGGAAATAGAGCTCAGATTCAAGTAAATACCTTTCAGATCTAAGAAAACAGGAAGATCTCTTGAGTCAGTTTGGACAAAAGTCAGCATTTTATCAGTGATTTTTTTTTTTTTTTTAATGAGTTACTTAAATTCTTGAGAAGGATTTTACAGAACATGGCCTTTTCTTCTCTAAAATAATAACATTCATTTATAGTGGTCTAGGGAGGAATTGTGTGTGGGTGTGAGTATAAAATTGCCCACGGTGCTGGACACATATGGCTAGTCTTAAAAAGGGATTGATTTTTATTAGTTTTAAATAAGTTAGGTAATAATCTTCCTCTCAAAACTTTTAAGTAATGATTTATTAGAGTCTTATCAGGCTTCTTGAGTCAAAAATTACTTATCCATTTTGATCAAGTATCTACCTTGTGCTTTATCATCTTTATTTATTTTTTTTTTTTTTAAGGATTTTATTTATTTGAGAGACAGAGAGAGTGAGAGAGAACATGAGCGGGGTGAGGGGCAGAGGGAGAAGCAGATGGGGAGCCCTATTTGGGGCTCAGTCCTGGGACTCTGGGATCATGACCTGAGCCGAAGGCAGACGCTTAACCAACTGAGCCACCGAGGTGCCCCTGCTTTATCATCTTTAAAATTAATATTCTGTTAATATATTTTCCAGTCTTGAAAGTATGAAAGTTTGTTGAAAGATTAGAAAGAGGGGCGCTTGGGTGGCTCAGTCTTTAAGCTTCTGCCTTCGGCTCAGGTCGTGATCAAGGGTCCTGGGATTGAGCCTTCCATCAAGCTTCCTGCTCAGCGGGAAGCCTGCTTCTCCCTCTCCCACTCCCCCTGCTTGTGTTCCCTCTTTCCCTGTCTCTCTCTCTCTGTCAAATAAATAAATAAAATCTTTAAAAAAAAAAAAAAAGAAAGATTAGAAAGATTTCCAAAGATTTTTATTTCCAAAAAGCGTGATGTGACATTTTAAAGCCATTGGGTCTTACAATTTCTCTACTTAATAACATTTTTAAAACAGTATTGGCACTGTTTATCATTTTTCCTCCTTAGGCTGTTATAGATGCAAATATTTTTCCTGTTTTGATTGAGATTCTTCAGAAAGCAGAGTTTCGCACCAGGAAAGAAGCAGCTTGGGCTATAACTAATGCAACATCAGGAGGTACTCCAGAACAAATAAGGTGTGATACAGAGTTTTTTAATTTTTTTTTTTAAATGTAAATGGGACAAAATGAAGTACTACGTACTTTTTATTTGTTGATGAAACCGAAACATTATTTCTAAGTCATTTTAATGTGAAATGAAAGCATTTGTTACATCAGTTGTATTATTCATTCACAGTAGTTTTTGTTTTGTTTTGTTTTTTCAGTAAAGGATAATTAACATCACTTGCCTTGGCAGACTATTTATGAAAAATCAGAGATTAAGAATCTGAAAAAGAACAGTTTATATTAATTTGCAAAATATACTCTGATGGACATTAAATATTTTTTATACCATTAGAGTCACGTGCATGTGACTTTATTATATAAAAATGACTAATGATTTGAACATCCACTTATTTAAAATAATTATTAAAAATAAAATTAAATACTGAAATAGACATTTGTTTGTATAGTGATGTTCTCCTAGTCAGTTGTTAGCCTTACCTGTGGATGGTATCTTTTCTTTCTCTATACTAGTTTTCTTTTTTTCTTTTTTATGGTAGCTTTTTTGATAGGCCTTTTGTTGTTTACTTGTTTCTTTTACTAACAACATAAATACTAGGTACATGGGCTTTGAAGTCAGGCTGCTTTAAAATCCTGTTCCCTCAGTAAAGGTTGTGTGACCTTGACAAAACCATTTTACCTATCTAATCCACAGTTTCTTCATTTTTTAAATGAATTTGATTAACAGATAATACCTTATGGTAGTCTCTTGATAATTAAATGGGATTCATACATTTAAAGTGCTTAACATGGTGCCTAAACATTAAGTTCTCTACTAAGATTAGCTGCTATTATCGTTATTTGTAACCATCACAACTTTTATGATCAGAACTGATTCCTAAATTTCTTATTATCTTGTGCTTTTATTCTCTTTTCCCCCATAGCAAGGTTCTACTTCGCACTTGTATAAAAGCTTGACTTCCTACAGAATTTTCTTATTCTATGGATTTGTCTGTGAAACTCAGGACTTTTTAGGTTTCTTGAAGTGACTGTTTAGGAAGTATTTTCTAATGAGTATTTAATTTATGTCTTAATTTATAAAACAATAAATAAGGCTACTAGCTATTTTAAAAAATCACTGAGAGGATTTTGAAATAACTTGTTGTGAGATCTTTGTCTTATTGCCTTCATTTGTGCTATTATCTTGGTGTCTTAGATTTATATTTCTATATGTTGATAACATCTCTTCTGCTTTTTATTTTCCATTCTTCCTCTTTCCATTACATTTCCATCTCATTATGTTATGAATATAAAGAGTAATAAAACAAGATCTTCCCCCTGTTCTAGCTTGCATTTTTTTATAAACTAATATAATTTTTATCTGCTTTGGGAACCAAAGTTTCTTTGTTCACCTACAAATAGTTGTATTTTTTCAAATTGTTCTCATTATTATGTCTAGTCCATATATTATTACTTAAATTTATTGATATGAATCAAGTGTCCAAACTGAGATCATTATTTTTTCTAACCATTTTCACCATTTCATTAATTCTACATATATGGGAGGAGATCTTGATCTCAGATTGATTTCAGCATGTGTACCACTAATATTTATTGAATGTCTGATATTGCCAGTTGTTGTGCTAAGTCATTTCAGTTATTGAGTGCCAGGATAGTATCCAATACTGTCATATGCTTTATGTTCTTTAACTTCATACAGCTATGAGATATTCATTCAACAAATAGACTGATTAGTTATAGTATAGTACATGGCAAGTGAGTGCTCTAGTGAAGGTATGTACTTTTTTTTTTTTTTTAAAGGAAAGTGGAAACTAACTTTTATTGAATGCTTAACTGTATGTTTATAGCAACTCTCTGAGCTTGGTACTGTTATTATCCCCATTTTAAGATGGAGAAACTGAGGCACAGAGCAGTCACTCCAGGTCACACAACTAATAAGGAGTGGAGGTGGGACTTGAAGCCATGCGGTCTGGCTTCAGTACGTCTTTTTTTCCTTTAGCCTTAATGGACTTTTTTCCAAGGAAATAAATCAGTCACTTTATATTATAGAGAATGGAAAGGAGCTAATAAAAACTAGAAAAGGACAAAGTATTAAAAACAAGTAGAATAACTTTCGTGAACATTGTTTATTAAAATTATTGGCAACATAGCATGTTTTGCTCCTAGAAGCCTTTTTTTTTTTAATTGTGTTATGTTAGTCCTAGAAGCCTTCTATATGCTTCTGAAGCACAGGTGGTATTTTAGAACATCAGCTGTGATTGCTTTTGTGGGAAATTTGATTTGAATGTGCCTTCTCCCTCTTCATTTCTGCCTACTCCCATATGACCCAGGGTGTGTACATAGGCTCACCTTCAAATAGTAGCACCTTGAAGGCACTGTTATTCTTAGTGCTACTCATATGCCATGCAGAAACCGCCCACGTACCGGTTTGCTTGTATGTATAGTTTTGTAGTACTTGTTATCTCATTTATTGCTAATTATGTTAAATGAAAATAGGAGAGTAGAAAGAAGTTTTCAGTTTCCTATGTCAGTGAAAATTTAAATGTTTTAATGTTTGAGTTTGTATAAAAATGCTTTTCTTAATTGTTTGTAGAACATTTCACTGAAGAATATTTGCTATAAATAATACTTAAGTCTCTTTAAATGTTTTTTTTTTCTCTACTTTTTTTTTAATCACTCTGAAGGTATTTGGTAGCCTTAGGTTGCATTAAACCACTTTGTGACCTATTGACTGTTATGGACTCTAAAATAGTCCAAGTGGCTTTAAATGGACTTGAAAATATTTTACGTCTTGGAGAACAAGAATCTAAGCAGAATGGAATAGGCATTAATCCATACTGTGCTCTCATTGAAGAAGCATATGGTAAGCAGTCAGTTCAAAATGTATCATTATAGTCAAGTCTTTTTGTTTTTAATTGATATATAACATTACAAGTTGGTCTCAGGTGTACAACATAATGATTCAGTGTTTGTATATACTGTAAAACTATCATGATCACCATAATAAGTCTAGTTAACAACCATTACCATACATAGTTACAAAATGTTTTTCTTGTGATGAGAACTTTTAAGATTTACTCTCTTAGCAACTTATAAATACATAATACAGTATTATTAACTATAGTCCTCATGCTGTACATTATATCCCCATGACTTTATAACTAGAAGTTTGTACTTTTTGACTTCCTTCACTCATTTTGCCAGCTTGCCCCACTGGCAACCACCAGTCTGTTCTCTGTATCTATGAGCTTGTTATTTTTTTGTTTTTGGATTTTACAGATATGTGAGATTATATGGTATTTGTCTTTCTCTGTGTGGCTTATTTTATTTAGCATAATGTCCTCAAGGTCCATCCATGTTGTCACAGATGGCAAGATATCATTCTTTTTTATGGCTGAATAATATTTTATTATATACATATATACCGTTTTTTTTTTTAATCCATTCATCCATCAGTAAACACTTACGTTGCTTATATATCTTGGCCACTGTAAATAGTGCTGCAATGAACATGGGGGTACAGATGTCTTTCTAGTTAGTGTTTTCATTTTCTTTGGATAAATACCCAGAAATGGAATTGCTAAATCATGTGGTAGTTCTATTTTTGGGGGGTAGTTTAATTTTTTGAAGAACCTCCATAGTGGCTGCACCAATTTACATTCCTACCATCAGTGCACCAGGGTCCCATTTGTTCCACATCTACACTTGTTATTTCTAGTCTTTTTGATAATAGTCATTCTAACAGATGGTGAGGTAATTATTTCATTGCAGTTTTGATTTAAATTTCCCTAATGATTACTGACGTTGAACACCTTTTTAGGTACTTGTTGGATATCTGTCTTCTTTGGAAAAATGTCTTTTCAGATCCTCTGCCCATTTTTTAACCAAATTGCTTGTTTTTGGTGTTCAGTTGGTGCTGAGTTCTTTATATATTTTGGGCATTAACTCCTTAAGGTATATGACTTGCAAATATTGTCTCCTGTTCTGTAGGTTATCTTTTCATTTTGTTGATGGGTTCCTTTGCTGTGCAGAAGCTTTTTAGTTTGATGTAATCCCCACTTGTTTATTTTGACTTTTGTTGCCTTTGCTTTTGGTGTCAAATCCAAAATATTGCCAAGACCAGTGTCAAATAGTTTATCACTAATGCTTTCTTCTACTTTTATGGTTTCAGACCTTACATTCAAGTAATGTATTCAGAGTTTGTTTTGTGTATGGTATACATTAGTGGCCCAGTTTCACTCTTTTGTGTGTGACTGTCCAGTTTTCCCAGCACCATTTTTTTTTTTAAGAGACTGCCCTTTCCCCATTGTATGTTACATTCTTTGCTTCTTTGTAGTAAATTAATTGATTTTATATGTGGATTTCTTTCTGGGCTCTCTATTCTATTCCACTGATCTGTTTTTATGCCAATAAGTTTTGATTATTATAGCTTTGTAGTATAGTTTGAAATCAGAGTATGATGCCTCCAGCTTTGTTCTTTTTCTTAAGATTGCTTTGAGCTATTTGGGGTTCTTTGTGCTTCAATATAGGGGCACCTGAGTGGTTCAGTTAAGTGTCTGCCTTCATGCCCTCAGCTCAGGTCATGATCCCGGGGTCCTGGAATCGAGCCCCACATCAGGCTCTTTGCTCATTGGGGAGTCTGCTTCTCCCTCTCACTCTCCCTCTGTGTGCTCTCTCTCTAACAAATAAAATCTTTAAATACATATATATTCACATAAATTTTAGGATTGTTTGTTCTATTTCTGTGAAAAATGCCATTGGTATTTTGATACAGAGTATATTGAATCTGTAGATTGTAGATTGCTTTGGGTAGTATGGACATTTTAACAATATTAATTCTTCCAACCCATGAGCACCGAATATCCATTTATTTATATCTCCTTCAGTTTCTTTCATTATAGTTTTCAATGTACAGGTCTTTCACCTCCTTGGTTAAATGTATTCCTAGGTATTTTATTCTTTCTGATGCACTTGTAAGTGGGATTATTTTTTAATTTCTCTTTCTGATAGTTTGTTATGGTTGTATAGAAATGCAATAGTTTTTTGTACTGATTTTGTATACTGCTACTTTACTGAATTCATTGATTAGTTTTAAGTTTTTTGGTGGAGTCTTTAGGATATTCTATATATAATACCATGTCATCTGCAAATGGTGACAGTTTTACTTCTTCCTTTTTTAATTAGATGGCTTTTACTTCTTTTTATTGCCTAATTGCTCTGGCTGGTACTTCCAGTACTATTCTGCAATGATATAACTGAAGAGGTTTACCTGTAATTAAATGAAAAATATATTCGGCATCACCCAGACTTAGTGTAGATTTTTCTTCTTGTAAGCAATAAAATAGAATGCTCTAGATTTTGCTTATTTTGTAAAAATAGGCTTTTTCAGTTTCACTTATAGTTTGTACTTTTGGTATATATACAGTAGCTACCTGGATTTGTAAATAGTACTCATTCCATATTGATCTCCTCTGGCTCTTTCTCTGAGAGAATATGTGTGTGTGTTAGTTTGCTCACCTTTTAGTTTCTTCATTTGTGTTTGTTTTGGTGCTTATCCTTTTTGTGCTTTTTATAAATAGTATAATTACTCTAGAAAGGACCTTTGGAGTTACATACTCTAAAACTGTCATTTTAAAATTGAGAAACTAATGTATAGAGAAACCAAACTTATTTGGGCAAAATGACACAGCTAGCAAGGTGGAGTCTGTGATCTTTTTTTTTTTTTTTTAAAGATTTTATTTATTTATTTGACAGAGAGAGAGAGCGAGAGCAGGAACACAAGCAGGGGGAGTGGGAGAGGGAGAAGCAGGCCTCCCGCCAAGCAGGGAGCCCGATGAGGGGCTCGATGCAGGGCTCGATCCCAGGACTCTGGGATCATGACCTGAGCCGAAGGCAGACGTTTAACGACTGAGCCACCCAGGCGCCCCTGTGATCTTTTTATTCCCAGGCCTGTGCTATTTCCTCATACCACACTGCCTTACGCTGTCATTCTTGAAGTTTAAGACATAAGTGGTGTTGGCTATCAGTATATGCAAAAATTAGATAAGAATAACAACCCCATTGCTGATGGACTGACAGATGCTATTGATTCATTATTTTGGTTCAAATATCTGATGAAACTTGAGTAACAATTTTCTTCATATATATATATATATATGTATAAAACAGGTCTGGATAAAATTGAATTTCTGCAAAGCCATGAAAATCAGGAAATTTACCAAAAGGCTTTTGATCTGATTGAACATTACTTTGGTGTAGAGGAAGATGACCCCAGCATTGTACCTCAGGTGGATGAAAGTCAGCAACAGTTCGTGTTTCAGCAGCAGGAAGCACCAATGGAAGGGTTTCAACTTTAACTTGGTGGAGGAAAAATATATGGCTACAAAGGATAGTTTCAGAGATACCTTCTTTGTTACAATGTCAGTAGGAATGTTTGATGTGTTTTTACTTAGAACAGAAAAGAAAAAGTTGATGCACTTTTAAAAAGCAAAACAAAAAAGTTTCCATTCAGATGCAATCTTTCATTATAGTTTTGTTTTTATTTTGGTGTACCTATATTTGTGTTTTTATTGTTTTGTCTATTTTTTGTAACTATTTGTGAGCAGTTAAATACATATGAAATTATTTAGTAACTTAAGCTTGAAAAGGAGAACTTTGGGTAAAGTATTACATATGGTTCTGAATTTTTTCTAGCATCTTGGAAACTGCACATTAGCAGTACAGCTGATAATTGCATTTTGGCAGTAAGTCTGACACGTCCAATCTACTAAATCTACCTCTATCTTGAAGCAAAAACAAAAAAGCTTCAGAAGCATGAAATAGTGTAAAAGCTAAATTAGAATGTGAAAATATCTATTACCTTAAATTATAAATCACTGTGCTGTAGGTTATACTTTGCAAAAAAAAAAATTACAACAGAAAACCTGTAAAATTTATTTATAAAACATGTAAGTATTGTACTGATAATCAATTAAAATGTGGCAATTGTGAAGAGAAAAGCTGTTCTTCATGTTGAACACATTAAAATGATTACACAACATTTAAATATTTGTGTTTTTAACATGTAAATGCTATTATATTAGTATATTTTGTATTTTGACCAAATATGCTACCATTTTTGAAATAGTGTTTTATTATTTTTTCACTCTTCATTTTAAAAAGCATCATGATAGAGATGCCATCATGAATCTAAAGCAGTGCTGCATAGCAAAAATAATACTGTAATTCTTTCTCTGATTTTTTCAGAGCAGTAATTGAAAAGTTTCACTTTTTGTGTAATAATAAACTTAGGTACTTTGACAAAATTATCCTGAAGAAATCACCTTGTTAATGTGTTAAATTTTATTAAATGCTCTTAATGTTTGGACACTAAAGGATGACACTAATGAAAATTGCTAAGGATTCTTTAATATAGTTGAAATCTATATTAGGAATTTTTTTTTCATTTTTCATAATACTTGGGAGGGCCATACTGCTGCTTGTAAATCAGTGTATTAAATTACATTTGTATCAGATTGGTCAATATAATGTATGTGTTTTATGTATTAACAGCAAAAACCTCTTCAAAACATGAAGCTTTTAAAAAAAGTTTCAGTAGAAAAAGTATATATATATTTATTTATAGATACATATGTAAATGTTGTCTGTGTGTTATTCTCACAGTGCTGTACTTGGTAGAGCTTTCTAAGCAGATATGGTACTGTTGAACTCAGTCTTTTCATTTATAGTTATATGCAGGCTATTTACACTTCCAATTATATACCTAAAATACTTATTTACAACTGTTTTAAGATGGGAACTAAAGCATTTTTGATATGATTCATAGTCTATTCTGTAAAGAAAGATTTCATTTATGATCGCATTTATAATGTTTCTGCTGGAAATCAGAGGCATGTTACAAGAAGAAATTGTATATAGGAGTACTTTTAAATAGTATGACACTTTGTAAATTATGTATCATGAAATTATGCTTTTGGCAAGACACTTAAAACCTACAGCTATAAAATACAGGTTTAAATGGTGTCCATAATGCTGACTGTATCTGCCAAACCTCTTTTATATTGTTAAGTAGAGGATTGTATCTGTGCCCATTTTATTGTAGTGGAAGTTATAAAGTTTAGTATAAAAAGTTTTTCTTTTGCATTATGTATAGTCAAAAGAACAGGGTAGTTATATCAAAGATTACCAAATTGATGGTGAATTTATGAGATAAACATTTTTTTGTGGTACAGATGGTTCTAAGTATCAGGTGACAGGGTATTCCACTCTTTCTAACCGAACTTGATAATGCAGCATAATTCATAAACTAACCAGCTGTGCCTGCTTTTCTTTTGAGGACCCTGTAGTCACATTAAAAAATATCTAAGCCAAGTCTTTCAAACAAAATGGTTCTTATAGAAGGAAAAATAATATATATGTGTGTACATACCCACACACATATAAAATGATTTTTGAGGGGATAATTTTTAAATTTTGCCAGTAAAACAAACCTTGTATCTCTAAATACAGAGTATGACTATATTTTAAGCATCTAAATTTAGAATTATATTTAATTTCTTAGATTTGTTATTGGGTAATTAATTTGATTAGATTTGAATGCAAGAGGGAGTTTCTGTCTAATAGTTGGGACCAGCTATGGGACATGATGATGATGACTTCATTGAACCAAGACTAGCAAATACTTTGTTACTAAAATTTTTTTTATATATGGCTACTCTTTTCAAATAAAATATTTAAAATGCTCCAAAATATATTTTCATTAATCTTCACTTACCCTTATGGAAAAAAATTTCTTTTTTTAATCTTGCTTTCCTAATAAGATATATTTAAATTCAAGAGAAACTGTGCCAAAAAAAAAAAAAAAATTAAAACATCTTGTAAAGGGGAAACACATGCAACATTAATGCAAAAAACAAAACACTTAAAGAGCCTTTTACATTTATTTAATTAAATTCATTGTTTTATTTTGTCTGAATTTGAATTTGTACTAGTTAATCTATGCAATTATGCTTGTTTTATATTTGTAAGTACTTGACTCACTAGCCTGGTTTTCTTTAACAAGTTTTATTTTGAAAGGTGTTCCTAGAACTTAATTTTTAGTGTCATTTTGTTCACTTAACTGGTAGCACCAGAACAAGAAAGCAAAAACAACAACAACAACAAAAACCCCCCCCACACACATAAAAAATCTGCTGGCACAGAAATAACATCATTTGGTAACTGTAAAACTTATTTGCAAGGTAAAGTTGATTTACTGAATAAAGGACTAAAAGAAGCATTACCTTTGCCTCATATTTTTTCTTAAGAAGGAGCATTATGGAAAAGGTAACTCTAATACAAAGTCTTAGTGAATTTTTGTTGCTGTTCTGAATTCAACAATCTACTGGCTGCTTTGTGAAACTGTGAAATCAAAGTAATTGTTGTTAACCTTTACTCATTTTAGTTCATAGCATTACTGTTTTATGAAATGTGACATTAGGAGCCAATATGGTAGGGCTCTACAAGGATAATGTGTCTTTAAATTCTGAATTGGGGAGTGGGATGAGGGGAGGATATTCTTGCCTAACTAAATAAACCAACATTTGAGCAGTATGCAATATTATGAAATGTTACAGCACTATATTAAAAATAATAAAATACTATTTTACAGTTGCATTTATATAAATGTGTCTGTTTCATTTGTTCTCAGGATGGTGTATTCCTAATGGAACAAAAACGATGCCCTCATTGATTATAATTCCATCCACTTTCTAAAACCAGTCAGATTGTTGTTTGTAGCATATCCGATAAAACAGTATGTTGCTTTTATTTTAGAACATATATTCTGCTATATATCAAATTTGTCTTTGTATTTCAAGCTTTGGAAGTTACCAGACATTCACATGTTTTGAGATTATTTTTCCCTTTACTGTTATTTTAATGCAATATAATGCATTTATTTAAGGGGTAGAGTTTTAAACCTGATAAACAGAAATCAGAGGGAATGTCCGGTTTAATTTATTAATGAACTCTGGGATACATGGTCCACACCGTAGCCAAGCCTAAGCCTCCCTAGCCTAATATTTTTGTTTTCTTCTGTTGCTACTATGTTTTGCTTTGCCTAGCTTTTCCTTCAGTATTTGAAACTATGTTAATCAGTAGTGAAAGTAATTGGATCGGTTATTTTTAGGGTACCTTACTCTCAGTAAGGCAGTCTGCAATTCTAGTGACAAATGAATTCCTGAAAATGTATGAAGATAAAATGTACAGGTCAATCAAAAGACTTAAATATGCAGTGGCATTCCCTTCCCAGAAATTCCTAAGTACATCCTTTAATGATGTGTTTGCTCAATTTTATATATGTTCTTTTTTTAAAACTTTTAAACATTTTTTATTTAAATTCAGTTAATTAACATATATTATTGGTTTCAGAGGTACAGGCCTATGATTCATCAGTCTTATATAATACCCAGTGCTCATTACATCACTGCCCTCCTTAATGTCCATCACCCAATTCCCCCATCCCTCCACTTCCCTCCCCTCCAGCAACCCTCTTTGTTTCCTATGATTAAGAGTTCTTTAATTTCCTTTCCTTTCATATCAAAGAGTTGACTAAGTTCAGTGAGCACATGATTCCCCCTTTTAGCACATCAAACATTTTTTGTATTTGTTTCAGTAGCTTAAGTTTTAAGAAACACACATCATATCATTATTAATAGCACTTTAACATTTCAGTTTTCCATTCTGGTATGAAATAGAACTTTGAAATAATTGCTGTAAAGCACCACCAGAACTAAAATGTTGACTGGGGGCAACCCCACGAAATAAACAACTTGGAACGCTCAGTAGTTAATGCACAACCATTTTAATTTGGAGACAGTAGGCAGTTGAGGGAATTTAATGTGTAATGCCCAAAGGTGCCTGTTATTTAAAAATTGAATGTTTTAAACTTACAGGCTACTTTTGAGGGATCTCTCCTGTTCTTTTTCAGTTACGGTTAACATGTTTTTAAAATCTAAAATAGCATGACAAAATTTAATACACTTTATTTAGGGTTTTGACGTGACTCACCATCTTCTGAGCATTCCATCTTTTAAATTGTTTTATTATAAAATATACACAAAGAGAATAATGTGAAAGAAGACAGTTTGAATAACAAAATGAACGCTTACATATTCACCACCCAACTTAAATTATCAGTCCTTTGTAACCATTACTCTGGATTATGTTAATAATTCCTATGCTTTTCCTCATTGTTTTATCTCATGTTTATGTATCCCTAAAATAGTTTCCCTTCCCTGTCTTTGAAATGTATAAAATGGGATATTTTACGTACTCCATTATTTTTTTTAGCTCAATGTTAACATCTTTTGAGATGCATTCACATTGATGTATACGTCTGTGGTTCATTTTCTTTGCTGTATACTATTCCATTTTGTGACTACATCATGATTATCTGATAAGGTAACTCTTCTATTTTGTTCTTCTTCAGGATTGTCATAGCTCTTTGCATTTTCACATAAAGAATTCACTTCTCAAATTCGGTTAAGAGCCCCATAGTGTTTTTGGATGAAAATCTAGAGGATAGTTTTGGAGGAATTAACATCTTAATGATACTAACTCTATCCATGAACAAGTTATAGCTTACCATTTACTTAGAGCTTCCTTACTGTATTTCAAAAATTTTTTTTGTAGTTTTCTTTACAAAGATCATTCACATTTTTAAAGTTTACTCCAAGGTAAAACTTCCTTATGTTTTTCATTGTCGTAAAACAGTTATCTTTTGTTACCTAAAATTTTCCAACTTGCTGCTGGGGTGTAGAAATGTAATTGAATTTTATATATTAATCACGTTAACAATCTTGCTAAATTAATTCCAATTTATAGATGATTTGGGGTGTCTGTAGACAATAG